CTCCAACTGAACGTCTCCAACAGAGTTCAGAGACAAAGGAGCATTGAAGCTGTCCTGAAGGTTTGTCCCAAAACCTCACTGAGACACTTTAGGTTGATTTATAATAATAATAATAATAATAATCCTTATTTGTAGAGCACTTTTCAAAAACAAGTTACAAAGTGCTTTAACAAGTGTAAAGAATAATACAAAAAAAGATAAGAGCATGAAAATTAATATAAAATTAGTAAAATACAATAAAATAAAAGGGATAAAATAAAGTCATATCAGATCGGGAAAAGCTCTCCTATAAAAGTATGTCTTAAGAAGGGACTTAATAGAGTTCACTGACTCAGCCGACCTGATTTCTTTGGGCAGGCTGTTCCAGAGCCTCGGGGCCCTGACAGCAAACGCTCTGTCCCCTTTAGTTTTCAGTCGAGACTCTGGAACAGACAACAGACCTCTGCCCGAGGATCTCAAGGTACGTGCTGGTGCGTATGGGACTAAAAGGTCAGAAATATAACAAGGCGAGAGGCCATGAAGAGCTTTAAAAGTGATCAATAGAATTTTAAAGTCAATTCTAAAACATACTGGGAGCCAGTGTAATGAAGCTAAAATAGGAGTAATGTGGTCATATTTCTTTGTTCTGGTTAAAAGCCTGGCAGCTGAGTTCTGGACAGTCTGGAGTCGATCAATAGATTTTTGGGTTAAACAGGTGAAAAGGCTGTTGCAATAATCCAGGCGTGATGAGATGAAGGCGTGTAAAATGGTCTCGGTGTCCTTAAAAGTTAACATAGATCGAATTTTAGCTATATTTCTAAGTTGATAAAAACATGATTGAACAAGCTTTGTGGTGTGCTGCTCGAAATTTAAATTACTATCAAACCAAACACCAAGGTTCTTTGCCACAGGCTTAATGTGATTTACTAGGGAACCAGCAGATGGCAGTATTTGATTTGCCATCTGCTGGGACCCGATGACCAGGATTTCTGTTTTGTCTGAGTTCAGCTGGAGGAAATTATTTGACATCCATTTTTTAACTTCACAAAGGCAGTTGTTAAGTGAACTCAGCATTCCAGGGTCTGTGGATCTGACGGGCAAGTATATTTGTGTGTCATCAGCATAAATATGAAAAGAAATGCCATGTTTATGGATAATATGTCCAAGGGGAAGCAGATACAAGGAAAACAAAATGGGTCCTAAGACCGACCCCTGAGGCACACCATATTTAACTGGACAGAATGAAGAGACATAGTTGTTTACAGACACGCAAAACTTCCTATTTGACAGGTAGGATGAAAACCATTCTAGGGCAGTACCAGAGATCCCCACCCAGTGCCTCAGTCTGTCTAACATGATGTTGTGATCAATGGTGTCAAAAGCAGCGCTAAGGTCCAGGAGTACCAGGACTGAGCACATGCCTTCATCAGCAGACATTAAAAGGTCATTGGTGACTTTAAGCAGGGCAGTCTCAGTGCTGTGGTACTTCCTAAAACCAGACTGAAACTTTTCAAATATTTTGTTATTTTCCAGCACAGTGAGCAGCTGTTTGGACACAATTCTTTCTAGAATCTTTGCAATAAAAGGCAGTTTTGAAATTGGTCTAAAATTTGTGGGAGGGAGGGATCTAAACCAGGTTTCTTTAAAAGTGGGTTCACGCAAGCCGTTTTAAAATAATCAGGGACACAACCAGTAGATAGGGAGCTGTTGAAAACAGAGATCAAATGGGGCCCAACAGAATCTATTACTTTTAGTAAAAATTTTGTAGGTATTATATCAAGTGGGCTGGAGGACACTCTCATTTGTGATATGTTTTTAAAAGCTCAGACAAGTCGATGGGATAAAACTGGTTAAAACTCTGTTGTTGCTGGTGAGGAACCTCTGAGTAAGAGGCCACGGGGGTAATAGAGGCTCTGATTGACACCACCTTATTGGTAAAATAAGATAAAAACAATTCACAGTCATCATTACTTCCAGCTGAGGCACAAGGAGGGGTTGGGTTTACCAGCTGATCCACAGTCTTAAACAGAAACCTGGGATTGTGTTTATGTGTAGTAATGAGTTCAGAAAAATAGTGTGTTCTCGCATCCTTAACCATTTATTGTAGTTAATTAATAAATCCTTCAGACTGAGGTAATGGACTTGGAGATTGGATTTTTTCCATCTGCGCTCTGCTTTCCTGCATTCCCTTTTTAGGCTGCGAATGCTGTCATTTATCCAGGGTTGTTTACTAGCTTTAGACGTAGGCCTAACCTTTAGAGGAGCAGTAATATTTAGTGACGACAAGCAGATATGATTGAAGTGATCGACCAGATTGTTGGTGTTGGAATCAGACAGGTGTTTGCTTTGGCTCTGAAAGAATGCGCAAAACTTTGAAACACTTTGTTCATTAAAGAAGCGAGAACACACGGAGCTTGGTGAGGCGGCATGAGTAACAGGCGAATCGCAGCTAAAAACAATACATCTGTGGTCAGATATGGTCATGTCCACTAACTCCACCGAGGAAATGCTGACACCCAGGGTAAAAACCAAGTCCAGTGTACGACCACGGTTATGTGTTTGCCCTTTGACATGTTGTTTGAAGTTAAAAGAAGTGGCCATATTTAAAAAGTCAGTTGCATTAACATTGTTGGGGTCATCAACATGAATATTAAAATCGCCACAAAGAACAATTCTGTCATAATTTAAAACCAGAGTAGATAAAAATTCAGGAAGTTCTGATAAAAATCCTCCAGGCGGTTTTGGGGGGCGATAAATTATAACAAATATGATAGGTTGCAGCCCTCCAACTTTAAGAGTGAGAACTTCAAAGGAGCTAAATTCATCACAGCGTACTTGATGACATTTAAAATTTTTCCTATACACGCTCACTAGCCCACCACCACGACCACTGACCCTCGGTTGACTAAAACAATCATATTGAGGCGGACACAGTTCAGCTAGCTGGCTATAGTCATTCATTTGCAACCAGGATTCAGTTAAAAACATAAAATCTAGATTCGCAGACAAGATAAAATCATTTAAGATAAAAGTCTTACTTGAAAGTGATCTCACATTGAAGAGAGCCATTTTAAATGAGTTTGTTCTGGGTGCTGGAGTTGGTGCAGTTGTCCTAATCCTTAAGAGATTACTAATATTTCTGTGTGGGATGTGCACATTTCGGTTTACTGGTCTATGCGTGATGATGACAGGAATAGAAGTCTGTGGAACAGCGCTGGGAGCAGACGGCTTTACATGCCAGCAGGTGGAGACAGTTGTTTGTGGCAGTGAGGCAGAGATCTGTTCAGTGAGCGGTGGTGTGTCCAGGTGTGCTGCATGAATGATGAGTCATTCACGTAAGTCATGTGTGGACCGCACCACATGCTGTATGTGCGCAGCTAACATTTCTGAGCCCCGTTTGTTTTAAAAAGAGACATTCTTTGCCAGAAAATATTAAAATTATCCACATAAAACACACGGTGAGCCCTGCAGGCGGACTGGAGCCAGTCGTGGAGGCCAAGGAGTCTACTGAAGCGGCCAGCACCGCGACCAACTGTGGGAATGGGACCAGAGATAAAAACGGACTTTCCACACTGCTTTAAAAAGTTAAAAAGACGGTTAAAATCTGATTTTGTCAGCTCAGACTGCCGAAGAGCTGTGTCATTTGTTCCCACATGGACTATCACTCTTGTGATGGAGGACGGGAGCGACGGCATCAGGTCCTGGAGTTTTTTTAAAATGACAGCCGTGGTGGCACCGGGGAAGCAGCGAGTGGTAGCGTTAAAGAAACGGATGTTTCTGGTTATGGAGTCACCAATTATTAGTGTGGTTGGGGAGAAAAGAGGACGAGGAGATGCTGGTTGTGGGGATCCAGAGCAGGACTGAGCAGAATCTGCTTCAACACTGCGTGCGGACTGAGGATGGAGTGTGTGAGCTGCCGAGTGTTGTGTTGGAGTAGCAGTAACAGACCTGACAGAAGGGCTACCTGACGGTGCAGGGTGGAGACGGCCTCCGGAGCGTCTGAGCACAGCCTCCTTCAGGATCCTACGTCGGGAAGCGGAGGTTTTTGACCGGGATGACGGCCGCCGATCAGGTCCGGCGGCAGACCGGCGGCCCAGTGCAGGAGATGTAGCCGGTGGAGGAGATGCAACAGTGTCGGCAGGCACTGTGCGCCGAAAGAGATCCGTATCAGGGAGACTCGAAGCCGCAGGTGCATCAGCTGGATGGACCGGAGTGTCGTTAGACAAGGCTGCATAGCGGTTGGAGAGGCCGATGTGCGGAGGAGAGGCAGCCCCATCCGAGCCTCTCTTAAAGCCACGGACCACCACTTCAGCCCAGGTTGACTGATGCTTCGGAGTCGAGCAGGATGAAAGCCTGGGAAGACTAGAGGGGTCCCAAAACACGGTGTCCTGGATGTTAGAGGTTGCGCTAAGAGAAACAATCTGTTTGGCTTGTACTGAAGCTACATCCATAAAGCCAGTCAGCAGGGAATCTTTCTCTTTGAGTTCCTCTGAAAGTCGTCGGATGTCTTCCATAAGGTCAGCAATCTTCTTGTTCGCTTTCTTAAGGAGTGAACAGTCCTCATGGGGCAGAGTTATCTCGGCTTGCATAGTCACCGGAGCTTTGTTGTGGTCAGTAGCGTTGATCGCGTTTTTACGGTCATCTATCTTAAAATCCATGTAGGATGACTAAAATCCTTAACCCACGTAAAACTTAAATAAAGTTAAGTTAAATAAAAGGATATAAAAAATGTAACGAAAAAAGTGGATTAAAACTGGATAAGAGTCCGGTTCAAGACGGAGCTTCCGACAGGTGGCTACAGACGCCAACGCATGCGCAGAGTGCAGATTACGTCATTTGTGACCATCTGTATGTGAAGCATTCAACAATTTCTGACTTCAGCAGAGGTAACACCAAAAAACACACTGTGGCAGCCAGCACACCATGTCACCACCCAAAATGAGGGAGAGGATTTGAAGAGCAGGCGACCTTTAACTGGCTCCAGAGTAATTATATAAACTCATTAGTATTGAAATATTTGGCCAGACTGTTGTAACTGACTGCATCACCTGTTGGTCCTGTCCCCACAGAGTCGTCAGCGCTCCTCTCTTGATCTTCATCCTGCCCTGTTAAGATGATCAGATGAGTGTGTGAAAAGAAAATGCATCTGTATGAAGAACAGACTCTACAGTAAATATACAGTTTGACATCAGAGCCAGTACAGTTTCAGGTCTCCCTATGTAGGGCGACCTTATGCAAATACTTTTTAAAAAACAGACAAAGACAGTTGGTCACCTTCAGCGTGTCCGTAGAGGAGTGTATTCAGCACTGAAATAAAGATTAAACTTCATCAGACAAAAAGCAAACATTTAAATCCAGCTGGAGTTTCATCAGAGGCAACTATTGATTATCAGTCCACAGGATCACACATTTCTGTGATGATGTTCTGTTAGTTGGTACAGAGGTAAGTTAAATTCAAAGGCTTTATACAATATATAACAATAACAATACCTCAGACCATAAACTGAACATGCATCGTGCAAAACATTAGTGCAAAAAGAACTAGTGCAGTAGTGTATTTAACAGTCCTGCACTCTGAACCAAGTCAAATCAGAAACCAAGATCATGTCTACTAAACTACCATGTTGATAAAACATGAGTTTGCCTCTGAAAGTCTCAACATTGTAAAGTCAGTGATGTACTCACAGAATAACCCCAGCACACAGAGCAAAGTGTGCCCCATCTTCACATCCAGCACGGACACTGTCGCTCTGCTGCTGACAAATGTTTCTACTTTGCATTAATAATGATGCAGCAGGAAGAGAGAAGTTACATTTCATATAAATATGAGGGCACATTTTTTCTTTACCTTCTCCTTCTGAGTACAGCCTGTCTGTTCTTCCTTCCCTTTTACGCAAAGCTCCAACAACTGCAGTGACTTTGACTGCAGCAAACTTTGAAATGTTTACACTTCCTGCTTGATTAGTTCACGACTCTCAACTGTGGGTCTCCAGGTTTGAGTCGTTCATTTGTCACGTGACAGCTCGGCTACAGGGCTGTGGTAAGCAGGCAGCACAGGAAACAGAACTGATTAGTTCACGACTCATAGCAACTGTGGGTCTCTAGGTTTGAGACTCGTTCACCGCTCACATGGGTCCTCCTCTGTCTTTCGTTGTCTGGTTGTATACTCAGGAAAGTGGAAGGATTTAGGTGGAGTAGTGGATTGCATATAGACTACATATTTCTGTGGTTTTTACATGGTTTGAATTTGGTTGTGGGCCATGGGGGGTTTATATAATGATGATAGAGAAAGATCAAGAGGTGAATTTGTGCATTATACTTTGTCAAATAAAGCAAGCCAGGCAACCTTCCATGTTTGAGAACGGTGCTGTTTTTTAATCGCCAACTAGAGGGCTGCAATAATAACCAGCCTAGTTCAAATGAACGAAATGACTCAAAAAAAGATTCGTTCATTTTAATGAACGAGATTTGGTGACTCGAGTCTTTCAAAAGAGTCAAACTTGCCAACACTACAGCAGGGGACGCACAGGAGGAATTTTCACGTCCTGACAACAGTATAAAAGGATTCAGGTTGAAAATCTGTGTGTTTCTGAATGTTAGGTTTGTCTCTACATGTAGGAGGTTGTGTTTCTGTACGGGTGTGTTCTGATCTCTCAGTAGCTCCCTGCTAAGTGGACTGCACAGGGTATTCGGCCATTTTAAGTAAGATCCCAAACGGCAGGGAGCACAACATGTTCAGTTCAAAGGGCACTGTGAACTGTGTAGGGAAAAAGTGAACAACGGCTCATCAGTTCACAGGAAGTTGACAAGAAAATTACCCATAAGCCTTTGCATCTCATAGGAGCAGCATTCATTCACAAGTTACATACATTTTAATAGAAAAGAAACAGAAGAAGTTACAGAAATATAAGTTTTGTAATTGTATCAGTTTGTTTTAATATATATTCAGTATTTAATTTCAGTAAATGTCCACAGTAGCAGCGGGTATCCGAGGTGTTTATGTTACCAGGGTAACACACGGCGGAACTTCGGTGTGCTTTGATGTTGCAGAGTGTTCCGAATGGAAGGATTTAGAAGTTCTCTGAGCAGCGAGTTCTGTTTGTGTGGATCAGAACGCAGCCTGTGTCTCTAAGTTTTAGGGTTTTTCACTCTTATTGTTCTTCATTTCTACTGTTTCAGACTTGGAAATAATTTTTGCTCACCACCAGAGAAAGCTATGTATAAAAAACAGCTGCTACTAGAGAACAGAACAGAGGGCAGAGCTTTGTCTCTCTTCACGCTCACTTCTGTTCATGAGACTATTTCTGTTTTGCTCAAGCTCAGTCACTTTCTGTGGGGGAAGTTGTGACCAAACCTAAAACCACATGGACATGTAAAGTGTCTCTGCTGAGGTGATGGGATATTTTATCTATACTGCAGTTCAACTTTGTGATTTAAAGGATATATGCACTAATAATTTAAGAAATGTCTTTTTGTCAAATTCAGTGAATATCTCCTCACAGTCTGCTAGCTGTCTGCTCTGTGTGTGTGTGCTGAAAAATAATCCAGTGTTTGTACTCAGCCCTGGCTCTGTAAATGGGAAACAAACTCCAGGTCAACAAGTTCTGAGTTTACCATCTCAGGCTCAATCAACTCAGGGATGAGCTCAGAGTTTGTTAAGCCTGCTTTCTAAAACAGGGTCCTGGTGTGCTGCTCTGGGAAAAGTCTCCTCTGCATGTTAGCTCTGCAGCAACAACTGTAGCAACAGTTTGCAAACCCGCAACCTAGCTAACGTTAGTGGCATTACCTGCTGTGTCGTTGTTGTATTGGATTTTTCCAGAACTGCCACTTTAAAGAATAATTATATTTTCAGTTAAAATCAGAAGTAAGTCCCTCCTCTTGTCTCCAGCCCTCCTCAAATCATATTACACCATACACTAACAATTTATTGTTTATTTGTGCATGTGTGTGCGTCCACAGTGCCTACATTTTAATGGTGTGTTCTCTCAAAATGCTATATGAGGAAAAAAGGCCTGGATGCCTGTGCATTACTCTGTGACCAGGTCTGTATTATCAACGCATGTAACAGAAACACCTCAGTAGTTTAACTTTTAAATGTTGTCATTCATGCTGATCTGTGACCTGATGCACCTCTCATTATGGATGTAAAACAAAATCACAACAGATAACTTAATTAGTGAACCACAGATATGCATGTAGTGCTACAGAGTTAAAGTCGACTTGCCCTCCCTCCTCACTAGACTCTGTGCCTCTGAAAACTGAGTTACAGACACAAGTGCAGCAGAGGCTAGGAGGGGCCAGGACTCTGGCTCCCTAATAAAAATATCAGGGTGCTGTGAGTCATCTTACAGTATGATACGATATGTATGTCTTTGTAACCCATTCAGTTTTGTGTAGAATAGTACATCAGAAAATAGAGCTGGTCCTTGTTTGACGTCAGAATAAATAATGTTTTCAAGTGGTTACAGTTCTCTTAAATTATTTAATTAGGCAGATGTGATGCTGAAGAGGTTCTCATCAGATATTAATCTAAAACAGAGGCCAGATATCAGGATTTATTTGTAAAGCAGCCATGTTATAAATCTCTGGTATTATAGATTATATGAGATTATAATAGCTTTAACTAATGTTTTCCAACTTTTAATTTTCAGACTATGTGTCCTGTGGGCTGAGTAAAGATGTATGTAATTTGAGATGTTTTTACCTCATGTTGCTAACTTCAGATATCAAATGCACAAATCAAGTCAAATGAACACAACGCTCAAATAAACTGGTGCATTTGTTTTTTTTCCATTGTGCTATAAATATTACTTTGAAACTAGAGTCTGAGGGGAAAAAAACAAGCCTGTGCTTGTCAGCATGAGGGGAAAATAACCTTCCAGTTCCTCTTCACACATAAAATGGTGTTGCTGTGAGATCAAGAATCAGACAGTGTCATCACCACATTCACACCAAAGCTAATGTATGTATACGCAGAAAAGGAGAGGTCATTATACTACAGGACGTACAATAAGAACAGAAATTTAGTCGAGCAATGCATAGATAATAATAGATGATATGTGAGAAAGCCTTAACATGACTGTCAGTGTCTGCACTCACTGCATGCTGAGCAGAGACAAAGCAGAGAAAAGCCAGACGCCAGAGGAACAGCCTCAAATTCCTTTTCCAAGAATGTGGTCTCCTTATAAACTTGCCTTATTACCTTGTTTGAATTAAATAATCTTTAAGTTACTTAGTGGCCTGCACTTCAATTCTTCAGTTCTATTACCGTGTTCTTGTTAGAAACTGTGTTGAAAAGGAGAATCCACAAAGAAGTTAATTTTGCAGCGCTCTTTAATCTTCAGCAATGCTCACCGAAATTCTGGCTTTTCATTTATGTTGTAACTAATGAAACTATTATAAATGTTTAACGATTGACAATAACTTCCTTTCCTGTTTATCAAATGCTTATAACTAAGAACTGGATAACGGTTTAGGACATTTAACAGATGATTGTGGAAAGGTATTTGATTAAAATACACGCAAATAGACTTTAAGAACATATAAATGTTAAGACACAGAAATCAGAGGTAACCAAGCGCTCCCCCTGGAGACACGCACCAGGTAACAAAAACACAGCACCATGTGCTGCTCTCTCTCTTCTCTTCTTGCTCTTCTTGACTCTTAAGTGCAATTTATACTTCTGCGTCAAATCGACTGCGTAGCCTCTGCGTAGCCCCCTACCCTACGCCGTTGCCTAACGTGCACCTCCTCAAAAATGTAACTACACGTCGAGTCAATGCGAAGATGGCGCCTAGTAAAGCAACAGTTTGTGGCTGAGTCGGCATTTTCAATTTTCATCTCTTATTATCCTCCTCTCAAACTCCATTTGGACTCAGAACACCTCGTAAATTCGTCTTTGAAATGTATCACATGGACTAACTTCACCGGAAAAGTGCTTTGCCAACATAACAAGTTTCACCAGAGACCGCCAAGCACTGTTAGCCAGCTAACCACAACTCTGCGTTATTCCCGGCTAAGCTAACTCTCAACATGTCTCCGTCTGAGCACGGCGTTAAGCGTAAAGATAAAGAAAAAACACTGTCCACCAAAAACGTGACGAGAATTTCACCTAAAGACACAAAGGCAACTGCCGTAACCGCTGGTGTCCAGGCTCGCTCTACAACTGCTGCCCACACTGCCTGCGAGCATGACACATCCGCAGCCAGAGCCCAGAGCTATTACCCATGCCAGAATCCGACCCAGATACTCCTGCCAAACCAGAGGGAAAGAGACTCAAAGGTGACTTAACTCTTACTGATTTTACGATGGGAGGCTCCTCACGATGGGAGGCTCCACTACCTGACAGTTGTGGGGTTCCTGTGTCACAACTACCCTCCAATTTTAGTTGCACCTTAGTTACCACACACCTTATCTTTACTCCACCATACAACACTTCACAATCCATGACATGCATCCAACACAAAACAATACATTTACAGAGGCAGGCAGAGGGGTTGAAGGAGTGGGAGAGATTCTCATTGGCCTCGGTTCCTACCCCTGGAGCCGGGGGGGGTCGGGGGTGCTGTGGGGTTGGTGACGGCCTTGCCTGATCTGGGGTGGGCTGGGGGGAGTCGGGGCTCCCCTGGCGTGGGGGCCCACCCTTGGCCTAGGGTTCTGCGGACTCGGGCTTGTGGCCTTTGCTCATTTCTGGGCGGGTGGTGTGTCCCTGGGCCTGGGGGCCCGTAGTCTCCTCTCCTCGCCTGGGCCCTCTTCGGCAGAGGTGAGGCTCCCGCTGCTTCCCCCTGCCAGCTCTCTCACGGTGGGGGCATTCGGGAGTCTCTGGGGCGCATGACCGGTGTTGTCGGGGTAGGTTTTGGTGCTCCTCCTTGGGGGTGCTTGACTGGGGGGGGCTGGGCCCCTGTCCGGGGATGAGATCGGCCTCGGGGGCTGCTGTCACT